TGTAGGTATGTAGGTATGTAGGTATGTAGGTATGTATGTACGTATGTATGTATGTATGTATGTATGTATGTATGTACGTGTGTATGTGTATGTGTATGTGCATGTGTATGTGTATGCATACGTATATGTTTATGTATATGTATATGTACATGCATGTATGTGTGCATGCGCTGCATGGGTTGTGTGTGAATATATATATATATAATATGTATATATGCGTGTAGGTATGTGCGTGTGTACGTAGGTATAGCATCTTCCATCCCACACACCACGGTGTGTGCATAGAGGTTCCTGCAACCAGGAGAGAAGATGCTAGTGGCTTCGCAAGAGCACAGCGCGGGCCTCTGCACTGTTGTTGTTTCGTCCTGCTGATGCTTCACGACTTAAGCTCTCAGAGTCAGAAACTGCGCAAAGAAGTCAGCCACATGCAGTTGCGATGAGAGCTTCGGGCTTTCGGCAAGGCTGCCAACATCATTCACTCGGAAGCAATCACCTACTGCCGTACTGGTAGTGGAAACCGAAATTGCAGCATGTGCCCTCGATGCTGCGGGAATGTGCTCCTGGAAACCTATCTTGAACTCTTCCATCTCCATCTTGCCACGCACCGAATCTTCACCCAACATCATTGCCATGTGCAAAATCTTGCAGACGTCATAGCCTTCAAGTGCGGAAATTTGAGCATGGCAACTGCTTGCCACTTGGGCCTGACATTCATGTCAGGCGAACGTCAATCAGATTTCCGGAAACGAGCAAGAAAGAGGCCAAGCTCGTCGGTGACATTGTTGCAGATCGTTTTCAGGGTACAGTTGTGTTGTGTGTAGCCAAAAATGAGCCTGTGATGCAGAAGAACACAAATCATCGCATGACCGTGCGAATTGCAAAGACACGCAGGTAACTACGATCTACAATTTGCCATGATTGGCTCTTTCAGGCCTCATGGGACCACACATCCCCGAACATAGCGGCATTTTCGCAACTGCGGAAATCAGACCACGGGCACCAAAAGAAAAGCACAAGAGGACGCCCAAGTTCCAAGCCTTCCTCCGGAACTCTGAAGCACTCTCGCCCAAGTGGCGAATGTTCGTGGCGCTGGCAATGAACTGATGCACTTCGTTCTCGATGTCGGAGCGGAGCTTCACTAACTTCTCCAAGACTTCCTTAGCTGAAGGTGTAGGGGTTTCGGGTCTAGGGTGCAGGTTGTTTAGGGAGTTCGATCCCAGGAGTCTAGGGTTTAGGGCCAGTATAGGGTTAGGGTTAGCAGCAAAACGGATGGAACATTGAGAGCAGTTCTGTCAATGAGGACAATCGCAACTCAGGCTCATGAATCAGACACATAGCACGATGTCAGCACTTCTAGCATCCTGTAACCATAACTCTAATTGGGGCGTGGAATGCTGGCGTCCGCAAAGAGGCCGATTCTACCTCGTTGCCAGCAAAACTTTTGAGTAGTTTTTCTTGGGGCCTCGTGCTACTTGTTGTATACTTGTAACAGCCGCTAACTTCATCTAAGCATTCGCAGAATCATAAGAAGCACCTAGAAGAAGTGCACGTTTCAGAGTTTTTGTTGCAGGAACCGTAGATGCCAGTAGACTCCCCTGCTCTTCTCGAAGTCTTCAACCGGGCTCCGAATTGAAGGGCCGAGTGTCCGCGAAGCCGTTCGTCTTCAGCTCCTTCTCCAGTTTGTCAGCATCCTTCCGGTTCCCCTCCTCTTCCATCATGTTGATAAACTCGCTGCCTTTGGAAAACGGAGGCACCAGCAGAAGGATATTGTCAGGCGGAACACTTGGATCAAACTCATGCCAACGATTCCTCATGCCTGGGGGGGGGGGGGGGGGGGGNNGGTGGGAGGATGCGACATGGAATCTGCACCCTGGCACTTGGCGATCTCAAAAAGCTCATGCATGCCCATGGCTGCCGGGATGCGAACCCCTCCTTGCAACTCCTTCGGGCAAGGGAAATCTCACACAGCGGAACTTCAAGAGTGTTTTTACGGTCGACACCGCGCTCCGGACCTTCTAGCAGAATGACGGCTTGCTGCCCTCCCATACAATGGGACCTGGCACTGGCTGAACCTCTAGGACAACGGGCAGCTAGTGATACTGCGATAGCTATGGCAGCGACGACAGTGAGGACCATCCTTCTGATGTTGGAGCTGTGGTTCAACGATGGTGGCGAGAACGATGATGGAGCTGAGGTTGAAAACAGTAAGGGTGAACAGGATGGCAAACCTCAGGACGACGAGAGTTGTCACCAACACTTTAAACTATGGTCACTAGTCAACTGTCCCTTCTTCGAAAGAAGCCGTGAGATATTGTCTCCTCATCCTGAGATGGCCGTCCCCGGTATTTCACGAGGAGCTGCACCACATCATGCTGCTCGTGACGCACCGCATCGTCCTCCGGGCGTAGGTTTCCAAATTTCACAGCTCGGACACTTCGGGTAGCGTTGGGAGCTTTAGGGTCGCTTCTGGGTGTTGGCGAAGTGCATAGGAGGAGGGACGGCCTGTGATTGATACACCTGCCACATCTAAGAGTCTGCTTGGCCCTTTTTGTGCTTTCCAGCTTGTAGCCATGACGGGATGATGGGTTTTGCTGGTCAGTCGTGCGCAAGGGGGTGGGCGTGATGTGCCAGCCCCTGGGGCAAGCTTCGACGCAATAAGCTGAGCAGGACTCTCCCTGTCAGAATGACTGCGGAGCTGTCTGCAACATGCTTTGCTTCTAGCTCCGAGCTGTGTGTGAACACAGACGCCAAAGCGCAGCGTTGCTGAAAACTTGCTGCTGCGATACAGTCACAGGCACAAAACCTCTGTACTATCGAATGCAGGCCGATGCTTGTCTTGCTGACGGCCACTGGCAGTCCATGGGCGTGTTCAGGAAGCGGTCCAGGGGATTCGGATCCACCTCAGTGAAAGCAGCGAAACAAGCTTCTCTCACATGCCTCAGGATAGCCAGCAGGAGTACTATTCGATGACCATGGCTACTATCGCGGATTTCCTGCAACTGTTGCCATCAGCCGGTGGTGCAGCCGAGATGCCTTGCCCTCACGGAGGAGGAAGACGCACGTTTCCAAATGTCCGTTGGAACATGCCAGGTGCAGTGCGGTTCCTGATCAAGATGGGTCAGGGTCGTTCTGAGGTAGGGTTCCCCTTCAGGCTGCCGCTTGCAAATCTCGTCCCATCTTGGGACATGAGGGACAGATAAGCCCCCGGATAACACTGACGATAAAAATTCTGCAACTTTCCCACAACGGCTCAAGACTCCCTGACAATCTTGCCCTAAACCCTAAACCCGCGGTACTTTAGACTCCTTCCATAAACACTCTACAAGCCCTCCAGGAACCCATTTACGAAGCCGCCCTGAATTCCAAAGCAAGCCGAGGAGCGATAGTCATAGTCCGCCATCCCTGCCCTGACCCCTGCTTCGATCATCCTTGGGATGCATTGGGGGCTTAAGAGTTTTCTTTAGGACCTCGGCAGTTTAGGGCATAGGGAGTTTGAGGGTGAGCCGTTTGGGTCTTGGATGTGTATGGTTGGAGGGGGTAAGCTGTTTAGATGTTGAGGTCTCAAGAGGAACTGCACGGCATTGGGTGTTGATGGGTTTGAGAGGTTTAGCTTTTTTTCTCACACTCGGTTTAGGGTTTAAGGTTTAGGGGCCTTTCCGGGAGAGTGCCTACATGCGTTTGGTTGCCCTCGGGGTGTCGATTTATTTTGGAGTTCCGGGAAGGTGGGCCTTGTTGGTCTCCGGGGCATGGGCACTCGGTTTGCAAAGTTCGTTGAACCGTCTGAAGAGACTCTGATTTTGTCATCTGATATGCTTAAATGATGGCAGCACCTTGTCATTATTTCACGATTTGTAAAATGTTCTCCACTTCCATGGAGAATGAGGCCTTTGCCGAACCCAGCTGGTGAACCTAGACCCAGTCACAGAGCTTCTCGAAACCTGCAACGACCTACACCCAGATACTGAAACCTAGTCCCAAGCCTTGGGCTGTTTGCCTCTTGTCCGAGACAAGGAACTGTCGGATCTTCCCAAGGTCATTTTGCGAAGCGGCTTCGCAGAGTGCCACACCGAACTCAACTTTGCCCATTTGCGCACCCTCTGCTTTCAGCAGCCTGCGACGCGTTGGAGGGCCACTTCGGGATGGTTTCCACCGGCCACTTAAGTGTCGGAGCTTGCAAATAGTTCCGGGGTGTCCCCCTGACAACCCACGCCGTCTCTAATTTGCTTGCAAGTTTGCTACGTATCAACTCGCGCCTTTGCACTGCCACGTGCTCGTGACGGATAGCGTCGTCCAGTGGAGTCTGGTCAAAACGATCCAGGGGGCTCAGGTCCAGGCCGCCAAACTCCAACATCTTCCTTGGTGTTGAGGCAATGTGTAGCTGACTCTTCATGAGGGTTTGGGAGGTTGCAAAGATCCGGTTGCTTCTATCCGATGTGTAGCTGGCCGTAATGTGCTGTCTCACTCACTACATGGCATGCGGCTGATGCGAAGTTAGCAGCCCAAGGAGCGTGATCGTCTCCAGGTGGCCATTGGAAGCAGCCAGATGGAGTGCTGTGCGCGCATCATAATCTCCGAGATTCGGGTCGACCTTGTCGTGCTGACCCAAACACTGCTTGCCCATGTCAGCCATGTCGAGATCTACAGCTGGCGGGAAACTTAGTCTCGGCCAGGAATCATGTTACGCCGTGCCCTGTGATCGGTTTTAAGCAGGAAGAGCTTCCGAGGGCAGCAGTTATTAGCTGTTGTTGCCTCTGCCGGGGAGCCCTGGATTTGATGTACCGGAACTTGAACTAGCACTTGGCAAGCTTTCTGCAGTCAGCAGACGCCGATAACATCCACGAGCAGTTCGAGCTGGGCGGTTTCGCCATTCGCCGCTGCTTCGCACAGCTGGACCTGGCATTCTGGAGTTTCAATTGCAAACACTGCAGTGATTTATGTCTAGAAAGCCTGCAAAAACCATAGTCATTTTGAAAGCTGCTGACGTGCATTAGAATCATCTCAGCTGGCCCTCTCTGTCAGAAAGGAGAAATCCAAGGTCCAGGCTGGCTGCATGGTACATCTCTCGGCGAATCGGCGAATTACGAAATTTCTTTCAACTCATTCACCAAGCCATTCTTGTTTTTCAGTTGAGGAGAAATCGAGCAGCAGTTGGGTGAAGCGGAGCCATGAGCCCCCCGCACCAAGACACCAGCCATCTCAAGGTTAAGTATAGCAAAATACTGTGGATTCATGGGTAGTTGCAGTTGTTCAGCACCCCCCCAACCCCCCCCCCTTCTAAAGCATAGACAAGCTTAAAAACAATCGGGGGCGGAATATCTTGTTTCAAGGGGCTGCAAAATGCCGGGGCAATCGCGCCCAGGGACCCAGGAGTGTATCAGAACTCTTTGTCTTATCACGGGAGCAGCCAGAGCTTCTGCAGCTCAAGGGATGGCCAGGTCCCCCGCCACAATCTTCGCGCGAAGCCTGATGACCTAGATTCCACTCATCCTCCGGATGACACAGGCTTCACCTTACAAAAGAGCTCAGCTAGCCATGCTGCATTGCAGCTTCGTGACATGATTGACGTGTTGACCTGGCTGAACGAGCAATCAAACTATATTGGAACCACATGCACTTGAACCCCAATCTCCAACACTCCGAGTCAAAATCTCTGGTGTTTGTCTCATCAGTGTTGACAAGCACCTGCTGCATGCCTATCTTTTGAAAGATTTCGCTGCACAATATAGATTCCGGTAGGAGCCGCAACCCCATGTTTTGGTTGGATAAGACATGACGGCAATGCCGCAGCCGACACGCCGCCTTTGAATTCAGCCGATGCCTCAATGAGGAACTCTGCAACCTGCACCGACACATGTCTTGGTCTTCATGTCTTCTGGCTTGGGACGCAGAGCCTCAGAGAACGCCTCTATGGATGATGATCATAATTACTTGTAGCTAGCGTGTGCAGACGAGCAGAAGAAGCAGTTTCAGCACGAGCCGCGTCAGCAGCACCCAAGCTGATAAGGATTTTGCTGCTAGTGGTTGTGGCAGGGGCATTCTGGAGGCGTTACTATTTCCGCTGTCGCTATGCTTCATACATATCGGCACTCTTTCGCCTGCTGGCTTTTGTTACTAAGTGCTGCTCATGCTGCGGATTGTCAAAGTGCGTATAGGAGGAAGCTGCGGTTGCTCTTCTGGCTGTTGCTGTGAAGGTGGTGGTTGCAGAAGTCGTAGTTGTGGTTGCGATTTTCGTGGTGGTCGCAGTGACAAACAGAAACTAATAGTCGTCTGTAATTAAGTTTGAGAAGAGCCGGAAGGCACATGACCAGCGGTCTGAAGAGGCCATGTGAGAGCAATTGAGAGCCCAAGGCACATCACGGAAGTGTGGGGGGGCAAACTCTGTCGGTCGCAAAGCCGCCCAGGCCTCCGCGTGCCGCTCTCGAACAGCATCGTCTAGAGGTGTATGGCCAAAGCCTGGCATTCGATTCAGGCTTGCAGTTTAGACGCTCTCACAACTCGGACGAGCCAAATGAGGTCTCAAAGTCGCAGGAGAACCAAGCTTGCGGCTTAGGCTTTAGAGACTCTGGCCAATGGAGCTCTAGCTGAGCCAGCGTTTGCTTCCTCTCATGTGGAATAAAAGGCCAACTCTCCATCTTACTTGTGGTGACAAGGCACGGTCTTGCACCGTCAGGGGCGCCAGGTACTCAATGATAAGCCTGATGGGACATCATGTGGCAGAATATGAGCCGGAGCAGGGTTAACCTGAGATCTCAGATTGAAGCAAGGACGGAGGCAAGACTCTTATTTTCAAACTCCCGAATACTCCTACTCCCACTGCTGCTCTTGCTCCTCCGGCTGCTGATGCAAGCTTCCTTCTGGCATGGAGATGGGTTTCGGTATGGTAGGTTCGCTTTTCCAGTTTGGGAATTGGGCCTTTCGTAGCTAGCTTTGCTAAGTCGGGCTGTTTTGAAAGCGGGCTGAGATGGATGAGACCCGTCTGCTAATGTGTGGATGCCAAAGGTGCTCTGTAGGAACTAACCCCGAAGGGGTCCCTCAGGAACAGACGGCGGGGTTCGGAATCGCACCTTGGTTTTTGTCCGGATGGTCAGGCTTCGCTGTGTCGATACAGACGGGAGGACTCAAATCAGTCCTGGGACTGTTGTTTTCCAAGGCCTCGTCACCCGTCTTTTGGAAGGACTGGTGAGGGGGAGTGCGTGAAGTCAAACTTAGCTGTGAGCATAGGATGACACAGCACGAGGGCTTGTACCATGTTGCATGCTCACGAGGCTGCTCCTGTTCGAAAAAAGGTGAGTCCCTGCGTGTGATAGTCAGTTTTCAGTCCTCATCGTGTGAGCATACAGCACTTCTTATATTTCACGTACTAGACCCTAGCCCCTGTGCTGCCTGGCAGTCTAAGACTCGCAAGGCCTTAAATTAGACTAGGATTCCTTAAAGGGGTTCCTTAACCGGGGTACTAACGGGTACAAAAAACGTTGATTTATATGTAGAATAAGGGTCCTTTACAGGGCTGCCTCAGGGCTACGTACTACAAAGTTGTAATATACGGCCCTCAAAGGGTTTGGGGATACACTACATCAGGAGCCCTAAGGAATATTGTTACTCATAGTCTAAGCAGCACCGAAGCATTAGTCACGAAAGTAGTCATAAGTAAAGCAATGGTAGGAGGCAGAGCACTTCGTATGGTACTCCATCGCCTCCCTTTCCACTGGGAGTGCTACTTAGATTTGCTATGCTACTAGTAGATCATGAAATCTCGCACGCCTTCAGAGGGCTTTTGCAGGGCCTGGGAGCACCAACTACTCATGCACCAGGTCTAATGCAACCGGGTAGCTTCTCAACGATGGTGCCGTGTCCATTGCTGACAGCGACGTGGAGGGCCGTGCGCATGTCCCAATTTACGCAGCTTACGTTGACCTTGTTGCCTGCAGGGTGGCAAACACAGAATCCCCCTTTCAGGTCATACTCTCTGAAACGACAGGTTCGTCAAGAGGAAGAAGATCATGATGGGTTGGAGGGCGAAAGGGATGTGGATAACAAGGGTTGATGACAGTACCTGGTGTTGGTGGTGGTCGGATGAGCATACTCATGACGGACAGGGGGTGGTGTTCATGATGGAGGACCATTTTCGAAATTACGATTTGATATTGGTGTCGGGGGGCTTCTCAGCATAGCTTCCATCTGTTCGAGCTTCCCCTGAGCGGCATAGGCAATGAAGTCGCCGATTCGCTCCTGCTCCTGTAATTCAGCACGACCATGGCTGTTATGGCGCAGACAGCCCGGGACACTCTACGAAGTCACCCGGCACTGCAAAGGTCCTGTGTCTTCTGAAACTGCTTGATAAGCTTCCTCACCTTCGCAACCTGAGGCGCAAGCAGCCAGCACCAAAGCGCCCACGGGGGGCACCATCTGAGCCCCGAGCTGACTCCTGCTTGAGCGAGCAATTGCCGACTAGCTCAAACCCCTTTTTGGTTACACAGGCTTGAAGCCCTAAACCCTAAACCCCCAACTCCATATGCTTTATACCCTAAACCCTGGACCCTATCCCCGAAACCGCAAACCCGAAATCCGACAAACACCCCGAAACCCTAGCTCCAGGTTTCAAAGAGCCGGGCACCCGACTCCCTCCAGAGATAGGTCGTGCAAGTTCAGCTCCTTGGGAGTCCATCGCTCGACAAGGTGTAGGATTTAGCATTTCGGGTCTAGGGTTTGAGTGTGCTTTATAGGGCTTCTGGGGATTGCAAATCCAAACCTTCCGAACTGAACCTTGCAGTACCATACCCCCCCCCCTCTCCTAAACCCCCGAAGCCCTGAAGCCCATGAGCCTGAACCGCACAAACCCTTTGCGCTAGATCCCCGAAGCCGAAAAGGAAGGCAGGCCCGCCTGATCATGCCTCAGAAAAGAGGAGCCCTAAACCATAACATCCCATAGTCCCATTACAGAGCCCTTACAGGAAACCCTTATGGCCTCAAAGGAATCCTGAAAGGAACCTCAGGAACCCTAAACCGTAAACCCTAAAGAACCCTTATAGTACCTACAAAACATGGCAAGTCAAAGACTCTGCCACGAGGTCAACTCCACCTTCTTTGCGCTTCCGCCGCCGTCGAGAGGTGTGGGAAGCCTATGCCGGGGTTTGTGGTGGGTTTTTGTGAGGGTGTATAGGGGTTTATTGGTTTGCAGGGTTTTTTGCGTTCAGGGATGTTTCGGGAGTAGGGCTTATATGTATCTGAAATTAAGATGGGTTCAGTGTGTAGGATCGTTGGCCTCCTAGGGTTTAGGGTTTCAGGAGTTAGCGAGGCAAAAAAAGGTTAGGGTTCTAGGGCTCAACGCTTTTGGGGTTTAGGCTGTATTGCTTGGCAGGCTTTGTCATGGCTTCGGGGCCATCATGTGTTGTCGACAGCTTATAGAAAATATGATGAGGACGAAAGCACTCTACAGTTCCTGCTCTGCGCACTACTAGAACTGCAAAGCAATCTGCACCCTGGTTTTGTCACAGGGGCCTGTGACTTGGCCATGTCCTCGTCATCATCCCCCCACATGCCTGAGATGCATGTGCACAGGTGCCGCGCACGCCAAGCAGAACCCATGGTAGCCTTACCACTCCACTCGGCACAATATCTCAGGCATCTTAGCAGAAACCTATAGATCCAAAACCCTAGGCCCTAGCCACTGACTGGGCTTCAGGCCGACCATGCCTTGGTTGTCGATCACGTCCTGCGGCGGAAGCTCGGCGATCGAGTCTGACAGTCATGCCGACTCATAGACGCTGCGCTTACGGCTCAGATGCTTCAGAAATGGGAGCTTCCCAAAACAGGAGGTACCTTATTTGGGGGTCCTTACAATAAGGATCCCACTATTTTGGGTACTATATTAGGGTCCCCTATTTTCGGGAATCCTCAAATGCATTCTGATATTTTCTGACACTACCAGACTTCCGGTCTGGTTTTGTACAACAACGTAGCTTTGCTGTGCATCTCTCAGCGTTTGGGGGGAGACTGGAATTCACCACGCCGACCCCGATGCCTATGCCTATACTCCTACACCTCTATACTCCTATCATCCTACAATGCTCGTGCTCCTACTATTAGTACTGCTGCTCCCGGCTATTGCTATTGCTATTCAAGACGACAAAGGTGACTACTGCTGTCCATTTCTTCATCCCGGTCCTCATTACCTTCCTGTTCATGAGACGGGTCGGGCGTCAGCTTGAGAACGTTGTTGTGGATGGCTTCGTGGTCCTCTCGAGGTGCCAGCAAGGTCTTTGGCTCAGCAACCGTTTACGTGACATCATCACAGTTGGTTTGCGGAAAGGTCGTTGGAATTTAGAGGAGCCACTTTCGTCCACCTTGTCTGCTGAGGCATCCGGGGCGTGCGTATGTCCTAACCCCCATAGAGTCACCGTATGTTGCATATGCGTGAAGAAACGCTGCTGCCAGGCAACCATAGGCCTTCGAGCACATCACCGTAGCGACTGAATCGAAGGCTGACTCCACAGGGTTATTCATGATGATTGCCAGATTAACCATGTGAAGCTTGTGATGTACTTTGTTTCAGAGCTTGGCTAAGGCATGCGGACATCACATTTAAAACCGGAGCTAACCATGTTCACGTTGAACCTGTTGTACTGTTCAGCGCTTGAGCTGCGGCTTCTTGTCACTGACAAATTGGATTCCATGTCATTCTTGTGAAATGCTGCACTGCTCTTGTGAAAGCGGCTGTGCCACTGTGAAAGCCTTCCTTGCCGATGGCAATGCATGCTACTTCGTCCAAGCATTCTGCGAGTCACTCAATGCGCTGTCCAAACTCCCGCTCACCTACATTGCATCGGGTCTGACAGGACACTGCGCGGGTGATGCTCCTGTACTGCAGAATTAACAGACATGTTTAGAGGACCAGTCCTTGGGATACAAAGCCAGGGCATGGTTCAGCTGCTCCAGGGGGCACTTTATGAACACGCTGTCTTCCTCACCTGGTGAAGTAAGCACAAAGCAACGACCGACTCTCTAAACCAGCCGAGTACTACTGCTGCTGCTGCTGCTGCTGCTGCTGCTGCTAATACTGCTATTGTTACTGCTCCTGCTAATACGACTACTGCGGCTATCACTACAGCTACACTGACGACTACGACAGTTCCTACGACTCCATCGAAAACCACTAAATAGGACAACGACGACGCCATCGCCCTCACCACCACAGCTTGACGAAACGGGACTTTAGGCCATGTTGCTGACGATGGAGATCTCGTGTCGCAGGCCAAAGAGACAGGACATGTCGCACAAGGCCGTGCCCCGTTCGTCCACGCGATCCACCTACCAAGCAAACGAGCATCCGATGGTCGGAAGGTGTGGGACATTCACTTATCGGCTAACTCTTCCCGCTACAGTACAGGTATGCGGCTGACTGGAACCATACCTGTTGACCGCGTCCGGCCTCATCACTGTTCATGTCGCGCAACTGTGCCGAGCCGCTCTTCAGGACCACGAAATAACCTGGGTGATTGGTTTCACTGGGCTTTGATTCGATCCTTAAAACGACCGCCATGTTTTGCTTTGAAATCTAACCGGGGCTTCGCACCCTGGAGAATTGAATGCCAGTCCTCATTGCCTAGGCCCAATTCATGAACCTATTAACCCTCCTTTCCCGAATCGCCTCCCCTGACGCTGTCAAGACACTGGTGGGCTCCCCCGCTCGGCAAACAAAGGCGCCTGCCGACGAGGTCAGCAGCCGACATGATGTCGCCAAGTGGAGCAAGAAGGGATCTGAACAGTCCTGGGTTTAAGAATCAGGGTTTGCGAGGTTCTTGCGAGTTGTCACTGCTAGTTCTGGATACTGCTAGTAGCTTTGTGTTTGTCTGCGAGCTGACCTGCATGATACTAAATGTAAACATAAGGTAGGCATGCTATGAACTAGGATGGGCTTGTAGACGGGCACTGTAGAGGACAGTGTGATTCGACACACCGCTCGTCTTGGAATTGGAGAAATGCTTTCTTGTAGAAGCTCTGTGCACCATCGTTCGAATAACATTCGCTACTTCCTTGTATAAAAGCTAAACCATATCCCTAGAACCTCAACCCCATCAATTTACGGGGCTTGCTGCTGCCCGCACGGCAGTCTTTGTTCTGTGACGTCAGCGCACCCTAAACCTTAATCCTGAACACTGGAGCCCTAAATCCCCACGACTCCGAAATCGAAAACCCGGTCCTTGAAGATTGGCAAAGCTTGAAGCCACTTGAGAAAGACACGCCGTCCCACTCTTTGGAGAAGGGAATAGGAAAGGTTAGCCAAGACCGACTCCATGACACGAACCTGGGATCAGGATCCAGGTTCGCAGGCGCCTTCATGATTCGAATAAAATGCTACGTAATTTTTGCCTCAGTGGTGAGGTTATAACGACTATGATGACCTCTTCACAAGCTACTAGCACCAGGCCGGAGCCAAAAGCAGAATACACGGGCCTCCATTCCCAAATAAGAAACCCGACCCGCTAGCCAAATAGGTCTTTTCGTTTAAACTTCGCGACAGGGTGTTCAGACCACTGCCCAGATTCTAAATGATATGGCTAATTAATTATAAAGGCTTCTATAGACTATAGATATTGAGCTCACCATTCGGGGATCCGGGTGGGGTTCCACGAACTTGAAAGCTTACGGCTTCGGTTCTCCCCTGGGGAGCTTGGTTCGGAGGCCTGCAATGCGGATATCACACGTGCGCAATGGCTGGTGGTTTCTGGCCCTTGCAGACACAACATCTCAAAGACAATCTTCACTAGCCGCGAGTCACTAGCCCGATTGACTACCCAAGGAATCCAATAGCACTTCAACATGGAATGTAACATACACCCTGTTTAGAGGACCCTTCTGTATTTTTCAGGAAATACCTGTGGGTGCTAAACTCTCCAGCTATTTTGTAGATTGTCGCCAGGCCACGTCTGCGGCCTTTTGGGTTTTGTTGCTGGACGCCAGGACGTTGACGCCGCTGTCTCCGTCTGCGCCAGCGGACATTCGGATCCTGAGAAGACATCATAGTGATTTTCAGGATGAGGACGACCATCGTCGTCGTGATTGTTGTTCTTGAAGCGAGTCGTTGTTGTTACTGTAATTGCTACTGCTGTCCTTGCTGCTTTGAATGTCTCACCCAGGGCACACCTTTCCCGGATTGTCGTTGAGCAGCCTTACGAGTCAATCGAAGCAACACGGAGCCTTGCCGAATGTGCCGGTTCCTAGTACGAAGCAAGCCTAGCCAAAAAACATTACAGAGTTCATAATTATATGGAGAAGAAGCCATCGCAGGAGCCGAAACCTCGCCCCTGACCCCGAAGCCAGGGGCTAGACCCAATATGACCCCAAAACCCTCAATCCCGGATGTCTGCACACCCCCCTAAGCCCAAACCACTATAGCCTTGACCCAAGCTCTGTCTTACCGAGGCCCCTGCTGTTCCACGAGGTCTGGAGGAAGCCCCGAGTTCTTGATGAAGGTGTCAATCCTGCTCAGGCTTCAAAAGGGCTCAGGGCTTTAGGGATAGTTCGGGTTTGGATTTCAACCTTTTGGTCGGCTAGCATTTAGGGTTTTCACGTTTAGGGTTTAGGGTTTAGTGCAATGTACGCTCGAGCATAAATCAGACACCTTAGGCATAGCAAATTTTGAAGGTGGGCTTGAGAACGCTTCAACGCCTGGCCCCCTTTGGGCGCAAGGTCTATAGGCTTTAGGATTGTAAATTGTTGGAACCTTGGTGTCTTGACAGAACTTCAAGTGCACCTGTCCTGGCTCGCATGACACGCTGCTCGACGATACTCTCATCCTGCGAGATTACCTGTCGCACGGACGGGCACATCCAGGCACTTCCTAGGGAAGCGGTCTTCAGATGTTCCCTGAACCGCAGAACCTGGCCGCAGAAGACGGGCGACCCAGACTTTTCAGGACTTCAAGATGCTGGCCGCAGGATTCGGGCTTCGGGGGTCGTCATAACCGGAATAGGACTTTGGGGTGCAGCACCCAAAGATCGTAGTAAGGACTACAAGAGAGCAGTCTTACTGCTCATTCAGGCCCCTGTGTTGACTAGCTTTCATATTCTTCGAGGGTTCGACTGGCCTTGCCAACCAGTGTGCCATCGATGTGGCCCATAACTGCGACGGAGATCACGAAACCTGTGGCGAAGGGTTTAGAGTTTAGAGTTTACGGGTTCAGGGTTTACCGTTCCGCGCTCACACTAGGACAATCCAGGCGAGGCATGTGGTCTTGAGTCGGCTGCATAAAACTACTGTTGGTTTAGGGCGTGAGGGTTTCGGAATTACGGGATAACGAAACCTGCGGCTACAGTAGGGGCCGATTGCGAACAGGAGCGTTGAAATCGGCTGCAAATGAAGAGATGGTCTGGTGCATCATTATGCTGCTGCTGCGCACTGCTGGCCGTGGTCGCGAGTCGGGATAGAGAGATGGAGATCCCACAAATGCGTCGACGCTAGCATGGGAAGCGGCTGCGGGGCAAAGAAATGCAGTTGCTTGCTGCCTGTCGCAAGCAGTCCTAGGAGGTCGTGTCCACGAGTCTATGAGGATTAAAGCCCGAATGGATAGCACCATTCGCACGCAAGTTGCAGGCAAGTGGCTCACTAGCAGCCAAAACAGCTCGGGCCAAGATGATGGGCTGGCAAGAGAATTGCTGTCGTTCGTCACCACGACCACCATGATGTAAACTGCCCTTGGTGCAGCATTGATGGTGCTGCACTCGGTCATGCAGTCCAGATACTCGAGGCTGAATCTATATGAGAACATGAAAATCGGATTTAGGGTAGGGGCACAGGTGAAAAGCTCGCCACGGACCAGAGTGCAGGATGATACGGGATGGACTTTGTGCCAAGCAGCAGCAGGTATTGGTTCAAAACCTTGGAAGGCGATATAAGGAAAAAGCCTGCCTCTCTAGGAGTCGTAGGCTTCCCGTCTTCTGAACCAGGGCAGTTCGAGGGAGATGAACTTTTGCTGGAAGGAACACCCACGGGTTCTCTGAAGCAAAGGATCGCAAACGAAGAAGACATAACACACAGTCTGCCGGCTCGGAAACACTGCGAACAAATTGATCAGGGGCATACACAGATGGCCCAGTCTTAGCCCCTAAACCCAAAAATTTAAACACCGAGAGCATTTGCCTGGTGAAACTCCGAATCAACAGGAGCCAGTTTCAGGCGAATCACGGGAACTTCTGGCTGGCTTATGCTGCCCCGCTGGACATTCATGCCTGCGCCGCAGGCAGGAGAAGGATAGAGGCAGAGAGAGGAATACCCCAAACTTTCGACCCCAAGCCTTAAGTCTATGGTACTACAACGACTTCCTTGCTCTTTGTTGAGCGGGAACTGTCTGGCCTGGGCCAGTCACTCGATCGCGCTTAGAATTTAGAACTTGGGAGGCGATCAACAGTTACCGGCTCGAGTCCGCATACTGTAGACTACATCCTGGACCCAGCCAGCCTTCGTACACCATGAACCATCCAGGCACATCAGTGTCGCCTTGTCGACCGCGCAATTCTTGCCTGGCCGGGCCACGATGGGAGTCCGTGCATTCTTTATGGCTGCGGCTACGTTGTGGTTTCGACTCTCACACTCGCACAAGGCCGGCAAGCCTCCGCATAGTTGTGGTTTAGGGTTTCGGGTCAGCTGGCTTCTGCGATGATTGTGATTTCAACAACAGCTTGACCGTGGTAGGCCACCGTCGTCACCATAGCATTCGTACATGGATTTGAGCAGTGTGGATTTCACAGCAGCCTGTTAAAGTGAAAAACACGCAGAGCCCACTTCAGGCATGCTGCGACCTTAATGCATCGCTACGGAAAGATCTCGCAAGCCGACAAGGCACACGGAAGGCCAGCCATTTCCGATGTACCAGAAGATGCAGGCCATGAAATGCAGGAGCACGAAGAGCTGCAGCACAACCATCAAAGTTGTGAGCCTGCTTCGAGCGGGGCTCAACATGACTTGCAAGTCGAGGCTAGCTGGGTCGCTGGCATGAAGCCGTGCTCGCGGCGATCGGAGGATTTGCTGTCCTGGGCAGAGATTGGACAGGGCTTCCCTTGCCTGAGTTTGCATCCGTTGGTACGGCATCGGTTGATGCTCCATGCCTCTCGTCGATGTGCATAGATTCCGCTGAGACACGTGTCTGCGCGTGTAGAGATGCCGAAGGTGGATAAGCTTCAGCAATCGCCAGGTAGCATAAGTACGCCTTCGCTGACAAAGCCAGCACACATCCGCCCTATTGCTAAGCTGCAATAGGCGAAGGTTCCTTTGCAGACTTTAGCTACACAGATGTAGCCCGCACTTCCATTCCAGAGGATTCCTATAGGCCTTATTACTATGCTCTTTCAACCAGAACCACCTTCGTATTGCTGGGCATCTCTCGACCACCCCATGATTCATTGTAAAAGTCCATATGCCCCTCAGTCAAATCTAAATCTTGGGAGGTGTTCCCCCATAGCCCTCACCTACACCGCTGCAACTGCCTGCCTGTCTACGCCAAGTGGGATCTTCTAGAGCCTCCCTTCGTGTGCTTACTAGTGACGTCCAACATGCTCCGCTTCATACTATGAATTGGCAGGCCAAGCGTTTCTGTCTCTGAAATCCGGCGGGGTTAGCGTCAATGAAAATGGGGTCTCTATTTCTCAATGGTTGAAGGCAACGAAAGGCGCCAGTTTTTGACAAAGCTTGCATTTTACAGAAACAGCGGCCCCACGAAAAGGAAAGTCCCTGGAGCCCATATGCCATTTGCTCGCAGCTATCACCAAGGCGACAGCTCTGCAGCATGGCTTCCAGCAGTTCCATGCTAAACCGGAGTGTGTCTCTAACTCACGAATCTGCAGTAAATCAGCTTGTTTTTCAACGGAACCACAGTAAATCAGCATGCCCAACTGATCCAAAGCAAACGAGACAATATGTTTTCCAACAGCCCCATAGTCAAGCCCATTGTAGCTCTGCCTGATTCAACCTTTTTGCCCATGCTTGGGATGGCCCGGTCTCGTCCAGCCAAGGCTTGCCTAGGCAACCTTACACCGGAACACGGTTCCTTTCATGTGGGCCTCCTGTACAAGGCTTCTCTGAAGCGAGGGCGGACAGGGGCGGCCTTGTAATCTGTGAAACGGAGAGGGGAGCGTGGGACACTTGGTCTTTACTTTTTATGGTCAGCAGGGCCGCGTCTCAGAGATTCATAGACGAACAAGCGCAAAGGTTGGGATTCTGAAATCCGTCTTTTGCACCCTGAACATCCAACACGCGCCTCTTTTCACTTCGTCGAGGAGGCATGTGCAAGTCAGAGGCTGTTGTCTTTCCGCTTGTCCGGCTTATCAAGCATAACAGTTCTATGATTTTCCTTGTTTGACGGACATGTCGCTGCCAAAAACTGTGTACAATATTTGGCCTTCTCTCTGTCTCTCTGTTTCACGCAGTAGATCTACATATATATATATATCTATCTATCTATCTCTCTCTCTCTCTCTCTCCTTAAACGATCTTTTCTGTGACGTGCAATATAGGAACGCTTGACGGGCGAACACACGCGATCTCCTGGATGAATGACAGGGAGTTTCAGAATGTAACTACATAAAGTACCTACACCGGAACTAAACTCCTTCGAACAAGTGTAACAGAGAGGGTTTAGGGGTTTAGGGCTTGACTGTTTAAGGTTAATGAGTAAAGATGTGCGCATCTTGCGGCCGTAGTCTAGAGAAGAAAATATACCGGATGTAGTTGACCGCGTTTTGGTACATGTCAGAAAACTGAGCTTTGCTGGAAGGTGTCGCCTTCTGTTGAACGAGTGCATCCATTTCCTGCTTGGAGATGCAGGTGCCGCTATGTAGGGAAGCTCGTATAGCACTATGACCCCTTTGCTGACCTTCCTTGTATACACCGTGAGGTATCGTCATTTGAGGCTAAAGGAATCGTCATTTGAGGCTAAAACTAACTTACTCTGTTCGTTTCCGTTTCGGAGCTGAACAACATTGAGCCGGGTTTCGGTTTGCTGCTAAGATTTCAGATGATCTGGCATACTCTACGGTCAGCTTGGCTTTAAGGCTACAGGGTCATGTGCAGTACAATTCTCTTTACCGTAGATTCTTTCTCGGTATCAGACATGACGGGTGTCTGATTTCTACATAAACAGTGCGAACAAGCAGTTTTCACCGATAGATGCTATTGGCGAAATCGGATATCTAAATGCTCAAATGCAAGTTTTGTGGGTCTGGCAACAGGTTCCCAATCGAACTTCATTCAGCTCCTGACGGTTTGCGCAGATTTTGTCAACGGTTCTGTGTGGTTGGCAGCAAACCACCTGTGAAAAGCTTTGAGGCACAACATAGTCATGCTTCCACGTGTGAACAGGATGGTTAAGCTTTCGACTAGAACCGCTTGTCCTGCTCTGCTAGGATGTTCGATAACAAGAAACTGCACACATGCATGCATGCGTTTGGCGCTAGCATGATTACTGCAGGAAGGAGTGCAGCAAAACTCAAGCAGTGCATCTGAGGTCAACCTGTGGGTGAACGCGGATGGTTCCAGGGTCTTCCAACTTTCCAAAACCGTTTGCCAAGTTTAGGTCCTTCGCGGCGTCATGGTCTCCAAGCGTCTGATCCGATTTTTCTGCAAAGTGGGGGAGCCAACCCGCTCGGTTTGCAATCACGAAACTTGGACCACCGCGGACACGACAAGGGGATGGGGAGTAGCACAAAGGCCTGACTAAACAGTATTCGTGTGACCGCAGAGTCCGTCTATAGCAATAGTAACATAATGACATAGTAACCCCAAAGCCCTCTTCTAATGCACAAAGCCCCTAGACAAAGGTTGGGGAAATTTGCATTTTGGGGGCACATTATCGTACAAGCATGTAGGAACGATAAGGAGACAGTATGCCTATTGTTTCCGACGCCTACACTACTACGACCAGGGCTGAGCTGTACAGTAAAAGTCCAACGGCAGGGTTTAGGGTTTCAGGTGTGGGGTATGTTGACCGCATCGAGTACAGGGTGATTCCAGGGCCCGGGGCTTACATGAGGTCCAGGGCTTAGGACTTAGGGTCACTCAAGTCTCAAGTCTCTGACACAACTGGCAAAACTCAAGTGGCCGGGTTGCTCGCTGGACAAAGATGGATCGGCAAAGATGTCGAACGGAAGGCAGGCAATCAAATCCCAACCTCGCAGTGTGCTTGATCACTTTCCTTATGCACCTCCCTACACAGACTTGTTGACATTCTATATTTCCTGTCTTTCCGGACTTTCAGATGCGATCAACTGCAAGTTGCTTTCTGAGAGATTGGAGGCAGGACGTCCCTCACGGATCACTAAAATCGATACAAGCTCCTCTGTTCGAACCTTAAACCAAGCCGGAATCTCGAAGCCCTGGAAGAACAAACGCTGTGGAGACTCATCTGCTAGGTGAGTACTGTACGAGGCCATCCCCGCAGGATGGACACCTCCAGCACCAAACCCGAGACCAAAGAAGCATCATGATCATAATACCTTTGGTAGTTAAGTTATACCTGTTGATACTCATGCTGCTACTACCACTACAGCTGCTGCTGCTGCTACTGCTACAGTTGCTACTATATTGCTATTTAATAATGCTACTACTACTACTACTACTACTACTCCTGCTGCTACTACTACTACTACTACGACGACGACGACAACTACTACTTACTACTGCTACTGCTAGTTCTACTACGACGAAGTCTACGACCCCACGACC